GGGGGGGGGGCCGGGGGGGGGGGGGGGGGGCTGGGCTCGGGGTGCGGCCCGGGCCGGCCTCCAGCTCGCGCGCGGCCTCCCGGTACTTGTCGGCCAGGTCCTGCAGCAGCGTGTTCTTCCGCAGCTGCGGCTGCTGCCCGGCGCTCTCGCGGCAGGTGGGGCAGGACCAGTGGCGCCTCTCGCGCCCCTCGCCCAGCGCGCGCGTCAGGCAGTGGCGGCAGAAGCTGTGGCCGCAGGGCAGCGTGACGGGCCAGGTGAGCAGCTCATGACAGATGACGCAGCCCAGGTCATCCTCGGCCAGCCACACGGGGATGGCCGTGCCGGTGTCCCGAGCCGCCATGGTGAGCAGCCCGCCCCCCACCGGCTCTGGGGCGCGGAAGTCAGGGCCACGCCAGGAACCGCCCGCCCGCCAGGGCTACGTCTCCTCCGGCTCCTCCCTCGCTCTTCCTCTCCCCTCCTCCTTAGCTGCCTCTTCCTCTCCCTGCGTGGGTCCACCGTTTTCCTTTCTCCAGTCTTGCTGAAAGCCAATTGAGAGCATCCACCGCCCAGCCCGCGGCGCCCTGGGGACCGAGCTGACCCTCAGTCTGTCTCCTGCGCTGGGAAGTCACCTCGCCCCAAGCGCTAGGAACCCGCTGACGTCCCAAAGATGCTTTAGCTTAATGCCCCTGCCTCCCCTATTAAAATGCAACCCCGACAAGTCTCGGGAGAAAAAAACAGAGAGGATTTCGATTCAAGAACTCTTGTGAGAATGCGCCCCTAGGGATCATCCAGCCCCTCCAACAAGAAGTAAGGGGTTAAGAACTATCCGGTGCACGTAGCTGGAAGCGCTTCAAAGATACTGACGTTGGAGCTCCACTCCCAGAGATTCTGACTTCATTGTCTGGGGTGGAGCCCGGCAGGGGTGTTTTTAAAAACTTCCCCCCAGATGATTCTAACGCGCAGCCAAAGTCGAGTGACCCCTAGACGTTTAAAAGCGGTTTTACAATGCAGAGTTGTGCGCCTGTCTCCTTACTGCTCTCTGCTGGCTGAGAGCACAGTTACCTAATAGGCATCGGGACAAAAATACTAGAAAGACTGGCGTCTTGAGGTAGCACTGCTGGCCCTGGTTGGGCTTGTTTTCTTCTCCTCTCCTCTTAATCCACTCCTAAGCGCGTTACAACCAGAAAACGTAAGAGCTAGAAAAGCATCACATCCTCCCCAAAGACCCAAAGAGGCAAAGGAACTTCCAGGCTTGCATAGCAATAACTAAGTGGCAGAGACCAGAACCCATATCTCTCTGATCTGTTGAATTGAACTAACAACGTTTTATTTTACCCCATCTTGCCTGGGCTCAAAGTAGGTACCGGATAATACAAATGTGTGGCTATTTCCAATACTGGAAATGACAGGTAGTAGTCATTAGTGCTGCTCATCCAAGGTTCCAGCTCTTTTTCTTATAGGCACCTGGTAGGATTGGCCCTTCTCTGATCGACTTGAAACACACAAAAGTAATACTTACTAACTTCCCACCAGCTTGAAAAGCTGGTAAGTCATTGTATCCGTTTCTGCCAGCTTCCCTGACTATGGAGATGAAGCCATCATCTGGTGGCCTGGGTCTCTGGGTGGCTGAGATGAGCAGCCCCCCTGCAGACCCACACTAGGACGTGTGGTAAAGGAGGAAAACAAATGAGCTATGTTAAGCTTACTGAGATTTAGTGGCTGTTTGTTGCTGCAGCATAACTTCACTTATCCTCACTGAGGTATTACCTGGATTTTGTTCCAGAGTCTCCTCATCTCAAGTAAACGCATAGCTTCTCTGCACCTCCCTTCTGAAAAATAGGCGTAATACCAAACACGCATGCTCAAATATTCCATCTTAAAGGATAAAATCTCCTTTGATATAAGCGTCCTTCTGGCTGTCTCTCCTTCTCTTCCACTGCACACCCAAGTTTCTTGGAAGAATGGATTAACCAGTGCTCTTCAAACATTTTTTCTTGTACATCTCCTAAAAGTTTTATGCAAAAACATGCAGTATTTACAAGAAACGGGGGAGGGATGGGCGTAGTCAGCCCTAGCTGTAAAAATATATGAGCGAGTTCTTCATTTACATCAGAAACTTTATCATTCTTTCCTGTTCTTGAACTTGTGTTTATTTCCATTCCACTCTCTCCACAGAACTGTATTCTAAGGTAATATATTTTATGCATGAAAGTCTTTTATCACTTTGTGATCCCCAGATTAGGATGTTAAGATTCAGTGCTCTCACTGCAGCTCTTAATGAGATGGATGGGCTGGTTTCTTTTAAAAATGCATTTATCTGTGGATGAACATTACTTTGTTTTGCTCCAGCTTTATTGAGACTTAATTGACATAGGACATTGTGTATGTTTAAGGTGTATGATGTGATGATGTGACACATGTGTATATTGCAAACTGATGACCACAGTGAGGTTAGTTAACACCTCCATCACCTCACGTAACTACCATTTGTGTGTGTGTGGTAAGAACATTTGAGTCATACTCTTAGCAACTTTCAAGTATGCAATAAAGTCCTGCTATGCAGTAAAGTATTGTTCACTATAGTCCCCACATTGTACATTAAATCCCCAGAAATTGTTCATCTTATAACTGGAAGTTTGTAACCTTTGACCAACATGTCCACATTTCCCTCACTCCCCAGCTCCTGGCAACCCCCATTTTATTCTGTATTTCTGAGTTCAGCCTTTTTAGATTCCATGTGTAAGTGAGATCACACTCAAAAGTCTTTCTCTGTCTGACTTATTACACTTAGCGTAATGCCCTCAAGGCCCATCTGTGTTGTCACAAAAGGCAAGATTTCTCCCTCTTATGGCTGAATAATATTCCGTTGTATATACACCACCTTTTCCTTATCCATTCATCTGCCGATGGACACTTAGGTTGTTTCCATGTCTTGGCTATTGTGAATAATGCTGCAATGAACATAGGGTGGAGATATCTCTTAGAGATAGTGATTTCATTTCCTTCAGATATATACCCAGAAGTGGGATAGCTGGATCATATGGTAGTTCTATTTTTAGTTTTTTGAGGCACCTCAATACTGTTTTCCATAGTGGCTGTACCAATTTATATTCCCACCAACAGTGCACAAGGGTTCCCTTTTCTCTACATCCTCACCAACGCTTATCTCCTTGTTTTGACGATAGCCATTCTGACAGGTGCGAGGTGATATCTCATTGCAGTTTTGATATGCGTTTCCCTGATGACTAGTGATGTTAAGCATCTTTTCATGTTGATCATTTGTATGTCTTCTTTGGAAAGTGTCTATGCAGGTCTTCTGCCCTTTTAAAAATTGGATTATTTGGGTTTTTTTGCTATTAAGTGAGTGATGAACATTATTTAATACTAGAATTAAACAAGGTTAAGCAATAAATTCTATTCCTTTTTTTTTTAAGATTGGCACCTGTGCTAACATCTGTTGCCAGTCTTTTTTTTTTCTTCTTCTTCTTCTCCACAAAGCATCCCTCCCCACCCCCCCCAAACCCCCACCCGCCCCGTACATAGTGGTGTATTCTAGATATGAGTGGCTCTGGTTATACTATATGGGACGCTGCCTCAGCGTGACCTGGCGAGTGGTGCCATGTCTGCGCCCAGGATCTGAACTGCTGAAACCCTGGACTGCCAAAGTGGAGTGCTCAAACTTAACCACTCGGCCATGGGAACAGTCCCCCTATTTTTTTGTTTTTGTAAGTGTTAGTGCTAAGAAAGCTTGTTCACATAAATAGATGACAACGTCACACATTTTGTTGAACACTTTCTGAGACATATGCAAAAAAATCACGAAGTGATCTGTCATCAGAGATTTTTCTTTTTTTTTGCGGGGGGTTAGCCCTGAGCTAACATCTGCTGCCAAGCCTCCTCTTTTCGCTGGGGAAGACTGGCCCTGAGCTAACAGCCATGCCCATCTTCCTCTACTTTATATGTGGGACGCCTGCCACAGCATGGCTTGCCAAGTGGTGCCATGTCCGCATCCGGGATCCGAACTGGTGAACCCTGGGCCATGGAAGTGGAATGTGTGCACTTAACCGCTGCGCCACCAGGCTGGCCTCAGAAATTATTTTTAATAACCTCTCAGCCGACAATTTGATTAGATTTTCTTTTAATTTTTGCTGAAAGAAAAGAATTTGAAATTACCTATGTTGCAAAACTTATTAGAAGTATTCACTTCCTCATTTCCTAGGAAGTATGCTAAAAAGAACTTACCAAAGTTTATCATATTACTATCAATTAGAGGCACTTTATTTAACCTGATAGATTCAGAAAGGGCTAGGAATAGTAGAATATTGTTCATTTCAAGATACCTTTGTCAATCTAATTTTTTTGGAAGAGTACTTTTATTTTATATGTTTGAAATATATTTTCTTCAAAAGTTTGGAGCTGCAGGGGTTGGCCCGGTGACATAGCGGTTAAGTTCATGCGCTCCACTTCGGTGGCGTGTGGTTTTGCCGGTTTGGATCCCCAGCATAAACCTATACACCACTCATCAAGCCATGCTGTGGCAGGCGTCCCACATATAAAGTAGAGGAAGATGGGCATGGACGTTAGCTCAGGGCCAATCTTCCTCACCAAAAAGAGGAAGATTGGAAGTGGATGTTAGCTCAGGGCTAATCTTCCTAAAAAAAAAAAAAAACAGTTTGGAGCTGCAGATTTAGCTCAATTTATGCAATATATTTGCCACATAACCTAATGGGCAAGGCCAGTTCTCGTTGTCAGACCAGTCAGTCGAATCATACTCATTTCCTGTCAGAGAGTCTATCACTGTTAAATTCAAATAAATGTGTTGCTACACATCCCTGTGACATTGGGTTCTAATGTTAAGTTAGATGAGAAAGGACAAGGTCCTTGAATTTGCGGGCTGGATGAAATAAGGTACAACTCTGTTAACATGTCCTGCCAGTGTTTGATTTGCTTCGCTCTTCCTGGACTCCTTCAAGAACAAAGCATATTTTGTCAGGGGAAGGAAGAGGTCGTTATATGTACGTCATCCTTACTTTCACTCCATTTTATAATATATGAACTCAGAACGTTCAAACATAAGCCAAAATACCCCATTTTTAATGCCAAACTTTGTTGCCAACAAAAATCTGCATGAGACCAAGGAAGTTATGAACTCTGACCTCAATGCCTTGATTAGAGAAGATTTCACTGGCACTGTTAAGAGAATGAGGGGCCAGCCCGGTGGCGCAGCAGTTCAGTTCTCATGTTCCACTTCTCAGTGGCCCAGGGTTAGCCGGTTCGGATCCCGGGTGTGGACATGGCACTTTTTGGCAAAAGCCATGCTGTGGTAGGTGTCCCATAAATAAAAATAGAGGAAGATGGGCATGGATGTTAGCTCAGGGCCAGTCTTCCTCAGCAAAAAGAGGAGGATTGGCA